TAATTATTATAATTAAGGTAAAGGTAATAGCTACTAAAATATAAAAAAATTTAAAGCTGAAAATTATAAAAAAAAAATTACTAACTATCTTCAAAGCTTTCTGTCCCAAGAAAAATACACCAACTTTGCTATACCCAATGGGTATTCTATAGAAACAAATTGCTGACCAACTAAAATACAACGATATTATTGCCACATTATTGCTGATTTAAAAAGGAAGGTTAATTTATAATACATTTTTATAACATTGTTTTACTATATTTATCGACTTATTTTATCAATATAATTACTTATTTTATGTTTAAGTAAATTATGTGTTGTGTTATAAATTTATTTACTTATTTATATTGTTGTATCTTTGTAGGTACAAGGTGCTGAATTTTTCAAGTCTCTTTGAGCCCTTATTCCATTATAAAAGGGCACTTGACCAATGACCATATTGACATTTTAGGCCCCGCAATTTTACTCTGCCCCGGGAATCAACAGGACGTTCCTGGTTTTACCAATCCTAGAGTCAATGACCTCTGGATAAATACTTACCCCCTACTACACAAGACAAAATTATAAATGCGTCCCTGGATGAAACCCTTAACACATATAATAAATAAAATAATAAATATTTTATATATTAAATTATATCTTTACACTCGACTATAGGTATACAAAAATATTTCCAGAAAATGTTTTATTAAAGGGGAGCCTAGATGAAGCAACCATTGGCTTATCTTACATAATATGGTACTTAAATAATTTAAATCAAATTGTACAATCCAGTATTTTTCATAACTAAAAAAATGTTTTATGGTATTCCTTAAATTGTCTATTTTTTATTTAGGCAATATATGGCATTGTCAAAAAATTACCCACAAATATGTAATCATTTTTATTTTTTACTTAACCATGCGCAAATATACATGTTATAAATTTATGATAGTTAATTGTTAAATATTTTACAATAGTAAAATTACTTTAAGAAATCTCGTGCAATAATAACTATTTTGTGTATTTTGTTATCTCAATTCTCAGATAGATAATTAAAATATTACAATATGTTGATCATGTAAATCATTAATTTGTTATCTGTAGAATACCAAATACTAATATTATATAATATATGATAGGTTGTAACGATATAACAAAGTATGATTAGTATTAGTTTAAATAGCGTAAAACTAAATATTTTACAATTTGCAATATTATAGATCCTGAAGGTTGAATTCAAAAACCCTTAAATGGTTATTGCATGTAGGCGAAATTAAAATTATTTTCTGGGAAAAGCTTTACAAATGCATATAAAACAAACTCCTTGGGGGGTATGTAGCTATAATAGGATACCTATATGTTAATATGTTATGAAACTATGAATATATAGTTACGATATTTTACGAAATATGATGTTTATTTTTTTCTTCACATAACAAAAGTATTTGCTTCAGATGTAAATATGTTTACTGATAAAAATATATAGGTACCTCAAGTATTTACAATTTACTAGTTACTACTGTCTACTTGTACTTTATTTTTGTTTACAGCTTTTCTACCTATTGCGCCTTAAAATAATATAGCTAGGTATACGCATGATTTCATTATGAAAAACAATTTCCATAACTTAAGTAAGCTTAGATCATACATTATTAAGTTTTTACCTGCAGTGTATCATAAGGCCCTGGATAAGATGAGGATATTGCGGTTTCTTGACGACTAAGTATATAATATTATAAAGAATAAAGATATTCAGAATTCGGTTCAAGCGATGACAAAATCAGAAACGCTACTGATGTCTTACGAATCAGCGATTAATTCATGGATTATTAATACGGGTTAATAAAAAAATATAATTACGAAAATTATACTCATGAGTGTAGGCACTGCGTATAATATGACGTCTACAGTAATGTGCACAGATAATATAGAATAATGATTAACGAACAATTCAATTGAATATTTTTCCTTCCTTCAATATGGACCATATTATAAAGCAGGCAGCAAGCCTATCACCTATATTTACATAATAGTACATATGTTAAACATATATCATGCAATAGTTCAGCGGCTTTATGAACTACGAGATCAACCGATTAGGATAAAACCAATAGTTGGAATAATGAGGCGAACAGTTTACCGGATCGATTTAGTAATTATCTAATAATCTGTAACCAATCGCTTGAAAGGAGTATAAAAAAATTGTAGCACGTTAAACGGTTTTGTGTAGGAACTTGTACAATTTAAGCCTAAAATAAATTTATAAAATAGGAACTATACGGGGTGATCCTTTGTATGTATAAGACAACCAAAACATAAATTTAAGTCGTTACAAAATAACATTTTTTATCGTCATCATTTAAAAGTATTTTACTGTTTTAAATCATAACATATATTATGGCTTTCTTTAGTAATTTGGTGTCTACGAGCCAGTGGAAAAAAGGTAATTCAAATTAAAACATATTAACAATAAATATATACTTTCGAGGGTCGGATAATAAATTATGGCGATTCGTAGTTTGGCCGAGAGCACAAGAGTTGCGTCCGCAAAAAAGGCAAGTACGAATTGCGTCTCAAAAAATCCATGATGCAATCGTGTGTTTATATCAGGGGTTCTTAAGTTAATGACAATTATAAATATAATCACAAGTCAATCAAAAATATGTTTATCAAATGTAATAAAAAAGCACGATTATAAATTGTATAAAGTTCTTTATAATCGTGTAAAAAAGTATATGAACGTTGAATCACTTATATCTAATAAAAATCAATATAGTCCAAGTCAATAATTTAATAAAATAAATGAATAATAATAATAATGATATCAATCAAAATGTCAAACAAAAATTAGACTTATACGTCTTATAAGATGAGCTTTTTACAAAATCTAACCTTGTTATTTTATTTACATTTACAGATATAGTAAAGGTAAAATAGGGGTAGAATTTGTATTGTTCATGATGACGATAAACGAACTAGTTCATTATTGCTTATTAACAAGGAATCGATAACGAAATTCATCCATTATCGTAATTTATAATATTAGGCACGTAATATAATATATTAAGTGCCTAATATTATAATACAACGAAACACAATATTAGAGCCGGGCCCCTTATAATTAATACACCACGGGGAACCCCTGAAAGAGAAATAAAAATTCTACTACCTAACCAATATAGTGGGACGCAATTCATATATACCTTTCTTACGGGACGCAACTGCCAACTAAGGTGCCTCGGTTTGGCAACACCTGTCATAATATAGTATTTCTGATAGTGATATTACGAAGAATCTAATACAACTAATACAAACCTTTGGTATAACTTGAAGAAACTTAAGTGGTCAAATACCAACAAAACTAACCACTGAGTATAATTTCGAAAACTAATTTTAAAGGTACAAATGTAAAATATTCAATTGCAGTAATTATTGATAACAACTAGGTCCCGGATTTAAATGCCCTAAAAACTATTATAAAAATAGCAAAAAATGCACTTTAACCACAATAAGAGAACACGTTCGTATAAAAAATAACCAAACATTTTACTAACTCTTCTTGGACATGCGAAGATACTGACTTAATGAAATAAACATGATTACGATGTACAACACCAACTAATCAATATTAGTTTTACTGGGTTAAGTCCTGGACGCATAAGGCACAACAGCCATAAGTTGCATTGTAGAATTGTAGATAGATAGACATTATAGACTTATCGAAATCATGAATATAATCGACGGAAAGACAAGTGATTAATGGTCAGGACAACATTTCTTGAGCTACCTAGTATTTTAAATAACCAGTTAAATGTAATATAAAAATGCATATAATATATAAAGTTGCTCTAAAAATTAATAAAATTACCTATAAATCATAAAAATGCTAAATAAAAGTTGTGAGTTTTCAATTCTCTGATATACGAAATGTATTTTTTACTTAAAAAGCATTGCCTGGGACCTAAGATACTCATAAATCGCTTTAAAATTTAAATATCTTAGAAAATGCAACGTAAGAAAATTCTTTTACATTTAAATTTGTTTATACTCAAAGTTTGATTTATTCTAAAAGCGTATTAAAGCTAAGGCCTTAGAATACAAGGTTGCTTCTGCTAAACTAAAAATTGTTGTTGTGCATGGATTAGGAGAGAAAACGAATAATGCGCCGACATCCTCCAAAACTCATTAATAATGCTCACCTAACATTCAATTTATAAACCTACATCGAAGAAGTCCAAAAAATATTTTGATAAGGTATAATGAATTAAAAATGCATGTTTAATTAAAAAAACTAAAAATAATAACGATACAAATAGTGATATTATTTTTCAAAAACGTTTATGGTTTTGGAAATAATGAGAGTCCTACGTTGAAGTTAAGTGTCGATCACCCGGTAGATTATAGACAATAACACATAGGTACACAATATATAAATAACCATTATTTTGTAACCACTAGTACTTGCTAGTTGCTACCTATAAGTATTGTACTTGTACGTTGTACGCTATTATTATTTATGATTATCATGATAATATTAGGTGTTATTATTATACATGCGCCGTGTGCCCGGTATAAGTTAGAATAATGCATTTTCCATTCGGAGAGGGAAAACGAGTGACCTTAGGGTGCCCATAATATTTACCAAATTTAATGTAACGTCCAATAGGTATTATACACACTTGAATACTCATAGTTCTATTGGTAAGACACTCTCGGCTCTGCTATATATGTACGTACTCAAGTATAAAATACACGCAAGTACGTACCTACCTACATAATTTTATGTTTACGTAATAATGTTCGACTTGCATTTTTTTTTAATTATGCAATTTGCACGGTGTGACGAAAACGTATACAACAACAACAACGTTTTATTCAATTATATACAAATTATAATTAATTAATCGAGTTATAATATAATAAATTAATAATAGCCTCTTACCTGCATCAAGGCGGCATTCCACTACCACCGTTTCCTGCGTATACCGTGTGGTCCGTGCAGTACACAATTTTCTTTTCATTCGCTAAATTAAATTGTATTGTTTAGGATAAAACAATTTCTCTAATAACATACTTGCATATTATTAATAAGTATAATAACCGCCTATCCTATTCACACGGTAAAGTAGTTAAATATTTTCGAATTTCAACTGTTCGATGTAGATACCGCCATACCTTATTCTGGTAGCCGGTAGGTATTCAATATTCATGAACATAGAGAAATGTTCGTGGATAATAACATTATAGTGGTAACGCACAATATACCTATTACCTACCTATAGAAAATAGAGATTAAAATATACCACTGTTTGAAATCATCTTCCTGCCAGCTGACTCCCCGTGGCGGGGAATCCTATTGTAATCTAGTGCGGTGGTTCCTTATCAGTTTTTAAAATTTTAGTGTTTAATCACTAAAATACAGATTTTCTTCTCGTATTCTTACCACAGAATAGATTAACTATTCTTACTATTTCTTAGTTTTGTACTTAAGGTTTTAATTTTCAGTACTAAAAAATAAAAGTACTTAATTATTTATTACTCATTTATGTAATCAAACACGGGCAACTATTAAATATTAATAATGGTGCGTACCTATTATATAAATAAATAATGTTGATAGTACCTATATACTTAATTTACATTTTAAAGTATAATTACAGACTAGGTATATGAAATTAATAAAAATGTATTCATATAGTCTGTGGTATAATGCTTATGTCATTATCTAGTAAATAATAATAATAATAATATAGGTTAACGTTATCGTCTAAGTTGTCTTTCATACCGCGAAAGTTCTGATTTGGGAAGCTTTAACTAACAAATTTGAAATTATTATTATCTACTGATTACTGACTAACAATAAACTAATATAATATGTTTTAATTTTATAATAATATAATCAGTAAGTAATCACTAATAAAGTAATAAGTAATAACTAGGTCTAAAATTATTAAAGTTTATAACTTGGTACACCAACAATGATTTGCTGTTACGTTATACATTTATCATTGTAAAAAAAAATGATTAAAATTAATTTGACTTAATTGTTTTGTTATTACTTCTTATAATAATCTGCTATACACATGATGACTAAGTTCTTGATTAGTTAATACATTCTGAAGTCATTGATAAAATTGAATTCATTTTTTAATTTTTATTAATAATTAATATTTTAATATACAGTAAAAAATAATGTATTTTTATAAATTTACTTAAATCAAATAATTTTGATGATTTTCGTTAGGTAAGTAGGTAATTCAGACATTTTTTTTTTGCATATATAGGCATGTCGTTTTACTATTTTATTTACAAATTATGTATTTATATTATGGTTATCTACTATATTAATTATTATAATAACATTTATAAGCATTGTATTTGTATTAGTTGGTACCTAATAACATACAAATTTATTTAGGGAAAACTAGTATAATATATCTTATACTCTTTTTTGATGTCAAGAATGTGATGTTAAAAAAAATATTGTTATCAACTTGCGAGCCTACATTAACGTTTAAGAGTTTCATTTCATTACAATTGAGTTACAATAAAAGGAAAATGAGTACATTGGAAAATGTTATTGATGGCTTAAATGATGTTAGATGTAGAATCAAAGTTGTGGCTCAAAAACAAAATGAAGTAATCATTCATTTTTAACTTTTTTTATGTAAAAATAATTTTTTAAAAATAAAATTATGAATGTGGTATATTATATTTACAGGGCCATGTGGAACCAAGGTTAGTTGCTGTTAGTAAAACAAAACCTATAGAACATATAATTGGCATCTATCAGAAAGGCCAAAGACATTTTGGAGAAAACTATGTCCAAGAATTGATGACTAAATCGTCTGACGTTGAAGTAGGTAAACTATTTGATATTGAGTTTGATTTTAAATAATTATCTTAATTTTTGAATATTTTTTGTAAAGATATTAGAAAAATGTCCAGATATCAAGTGGCATTTTATTGGTCATATACAAAAAAACAAAGTTTCAAAAGTATTAATGACTCCTGGTTTACATGTTATTGAAACAATAGATAGTGAAAAATTAGCAAGTGCTGTTAATGATGGATGGAAAAAACTCAATAAAGAAAGTAGATTGAAAATTATGGTTCAAGTTAACACTAGTAATGAAAAAGGTTAGTACAAATAAAAAACCTAATATTATTGCTACATTTAAATTATTTAAATTAACTGCCTAACTTTACTAGTTTAATAGTTAATATAAAATTTTTTTTGTTATTAAAGGATTTTTTATTCAATCTGTTACAATATAAAATAAAACAATAAGAACAATTGATGAATTAGTTAAAATAAAAAATAAAATAAAAATAAATAACGATAGATTAGACCAAATGTAGAGGCCTCCCAGCGGAGGTACTACAACATGAGTAGGACTAAATTAGGCTAGCAGGTCACAACACCACTGTCTTTTAAGTCTTTTAAGTGGACTACCTGGTATAGAAGCAGATGATAGATCGGAGATTAACGGATTCTTATGGTGGGCTAGGCGGCTATTGAAACGTTTATAGTGAGTTTTGGCTAGTTCAGAGACAAATGTTATTTTGAGATCAGAGTGGAGGGTGTGATTAGAGACATAGAATGGTGCTTTTAGAATTGTACATAGAGTTTTGGATTGAAATCTTTGAATGCGGTTGATGTTGGAAATTTTGGCAGTGCCCCATAGTTGAATCCCATAAGTCCAGATGGGTCTGAGTAGGAGTTTGTAAAGCAGGAGCTTAATTAATAATATAAAAGTTAAAAATCAATATATGCGACATGTGTACCTGCATTAAAACTTAAAAGTACCTACATTATTAATGTTTAATAATTATATAAATATATTAACGTTAATATCCATAATATTTTTACATTATATTATATTCTAATACATTTTTTTTTTATTATAATATTTTAAGCAACTACTGTAAGTTTGAATAGCATATGTCCAGTACAAACTGATACACATAGGTAAAGAATATGTTTTAATTTAAGTTCAATATTAAATATTTAAATTGTTACAACTAATAATAATAACTATAAATGTATTGGTATATTACATATAATATCATACTAAACATTTGTAATTTTTATTATTTTATAGAAAAATCTGGTGTAACAACTGATACAGTAGTAGATTTATTTAAATTTATCATTGAGAAATGTGATCATTTAGAACTGATTGGTTTAATGACGATTGGTCAGTATGGTTATGATTGTTCTCGAGGACCAAATCCAGATTTTTTGGTATTTACATATTATTTTAATTTATATATTAGACATTATTTATGATTTTGTATATTTTTAGGCTTTGGTAGATTGTAAAAAAGATGTTTGTGAAAAATTAAAATTAAATCCATCTGAAATCGAATTATCTATGGGCATGTCTGATGATTTTGAGCATGCCGTAAGTATACAATTTAATATTTATATAAATGAATATAATATACATAGTTAGTTTCTTATGTTATTAATTTATTGTTATTTTTGTGCTAATGTGATAATGTTTAAACAGCTGTATATGCAATAATAGGTAACATTGTTTGTATATTTTTGATATTTCAGATTGAATTAGGAAGCACAAATGTCCGAGTAGGAAGTAGTATCTTCGGTTTTCGTGCAAGAAAAGAAAAACAATGATTTACTGTAATAAGTTATTACAAATTAGAATAATTCTAATGGTAATTCTTTAGATTAATCTAATAATAATTCATTAAAAAATATATTTGATTTATCTTATATTCTTTAAATTTACATTTTACACTATCGTTGTAAATAGTAACCATCTTAATAAATTACTCAAGTAGTTTAAAAAATATATGTATATTCTAACCATAAATGTACTTAAAAATATGCATATGACACACAGTTTGGTCGACTAGTTTCATTTGTAAAATGTTAATAAATGAAAAAATAAATTTTGAAGTTATACCTTTAGAAAAATTATATAGTATATATATATATACTGTTATCAATTATTTTTATTTCATTATCTTTTAGGAAGAAGCAAGTTATTATTTTAAAGATTTGTATGGTTTATGGAATTTCTGTTCAACATTTACACTAAAAAATGACTCAACTAAAATAAAGCTATTGAATAGGTATAGGTAACCCATTCTGCTGTACAGTAAGTGTCGAGCATACCTCGGCATTATGTAGATCACTGTAATGGTTGTGTTACATTTGAATTTATTGATAAATCATTGCATAAATCATTTTTCAATTCTGAATAGAAAATCTGTCAACCTATATTATTTAGTATTTGTTATAATGATATATTCATATTGATTGAAATTGGTGAAATTTGAACATCAAACGCTTCTAAAAAAATTGTACCGATGTACTTTCAATATTTTTGAATTGCTACAAAACCACTTATGTAGGATCGTAAATAAAAAATTCAAACTTTTTATTTTTAGGTAAATTATTATCAACGCTTAAATAAAAACTAAAAATTTCAATGATCGCATATGCCTATAAATAGCTTAAAATGAGTATAAATATTTTTTTTAAAGTCATCAAGTATAGATAGTATGGTAAGATAATTGGTGGAATGTTTCAAGGTTTTTACAATCAATATTTTTTAAATAACTAAAATTGGTTGAGGATAAATCATTATTACCTATCTAGTAAATATACAGGGTCGTAAAAATTTCAAGCGCCCATTAAATAATTATGTGGCATTACACTTGAGTTAATATAATTTTTCATTAAATAAACTTATTATGACTATTTTTGATATTTTTCAAGTGCACTAAAACAAGTTTAGCTCTCTTGTATTACATTTTCAAATTTTTTTTTTAACCATGAACAAAAATGTTATCATACTTAAATCATCAAAAAACAACTAAATAAAAATAAACAATTTAAAGTATAAATAAATCTAGTAAATGTGTTTTCCCTTAATTTTTTTTAATAGGTTCTGAGAATTTTCAATATTGACCTTTTTAAAGTACCATCTAGATTTCATATTTTTTCTACCAGAAACAAATCTCAAAGTTGAAAATTTAAGCATTTTTCTACTATAAACCGTGTACAAAAACAAAAACACATTTCGCTTTGCTTAGTTTATAAAAGACATAACCATTTATTTAAAATTATGAATAGTATATATATTGGTTTTACAATTTGTCATTTGATGGACTATCTCCTTTGGAGAAATATTACATATAATTTAACTTGGTAAAGTTTATCTTAATAGTTGCAAATAATATTAAAATGTACTACTCAGATTAAATTATTTGTGACAGCCAATAATTACTTGGATGATTTCTGATCGCATTTTGCAGGCCTCTTCCAATAAGAGTTTATTTTTACAATTGAAATAATATAATCTATCAATTGTTAAAATAAGCTTCTGTAGGTAATAGGTATTAAATATTAATAGATGTATAAATTAATCCTAATAATTGATTAGTATATTAATCCATCTATTAAGTAATATATTATAGCATTAGACATTTGTAATATAGATAGATAATTTTTTTTTAATCACAATCATGACTAATTGAACTATATTGTACGTTTGTAAATAAGTTATCAAATTAACTTATTGTGTTCTTTGTAATTGCCCAAGCTTTTAATTTAAAAACAAATCTGAAGTTGGGACTAAGTATGGACAAAGCATAGTTCTAATTTAGAATAATGGTACTTCAAAACATACATATTATTTATGATTAAAGAGGCATATACTTAAACTTGGTGGCGTGTCGCAGTGCATTGTGCATTTTTAAGTCAATAATAAGAGAAAGAAGAAATAAACAACGGCTTTATATATTTAGCCATGAAATCATAGACCTCATATCATAGAATAGATTTAATCTATTCTGTGGTTATACTAAAGTATACTTAAAAAAAAAATTTTAGTATATCTATGCATGAAATAATAAACATTGTATTATTTAAATCACTTAAATCTAAAATTCTCAACCTTGGTAAAAATAAGATGAAATATAATGATTTTAATTAGTAAAACAGTTTATACTAAAATATATGACAATCTGAAAGGTATTATTCTGATTAAAACATTCTGTGCATACCAATATAAGTAGATATATTATATATTAGGTATCTTATAATGTATATTCTTAAAACTTATAAGTAACTAGTACCATTGATTATGAATAGTATTAATACTGCTACATTAAATATATTGTATTGTTAACAATATATTATACAAGTATATTTCAGTAATTCATGCAGTAAATTCACATTTATATTAATAAATAATATTATAAATAAAGTTATTTAAAAAATACGCTTAAATTACCCACATAATATTATTAATATAGGTAATACACCCCAGCGCTTTATTTGAAATTATTTAGGTTACCATTAGTCAAAAGAAATAGAAAATACTATTTACCCCAAATGATAAAAAATAAAAAACCTGATTAAACAGCAAATTTTAATTTTATCAAATGGTGAAAAATTTAAGAAACATGCTACCTAATAATATTTACACATCATATTTTAAATGAATATACCCTACATTAATGTTAATCAATAAGTACTTTTTGAAGGTATAAAAGAATTATACAGATTCATTGCAATTTCAATAAAATATTTATAAATTAATATTTTGTTTTAAACTCATTTTCTCAAATCAGAAACTATAAGACCAAGATATCCAAAGATACTTACGATTTGGTTTTTTGCTATTATTATAAGCTCTTATTTCAATTTCAATTTACTTTTACAAATATTAAACATTTTAGTTGGAAATTCCTACTTTGTTTTTACTCGTTTGCTTTGATCATTTTAATTTATGACTTTTAAACTAAATGTTGTAGGTAATAAATAAAGTCATGCAAGTATAATTTGACATCGGCACTTTATTAATATCTAATGATAATAACTTTAAACATATAAATGACGATATTGACAAAAATTAACAAATATCATGTATATATAAATAGTACACTAAATTAAATAAGTACATTAATTAAACGTGTTTGTGTAGCATGATGTATAGTAAAAATTACATAAATAATTAAATTAAGTATGTTGTAATAGAAAAATACATGCAAAATTGGTAATTGTATAGTTTTAGTACATATTTTTAGTAAGCACCAATGATATATTTTTAATGCTTAGTTCCAATGATTAAATATATTTTTTAAAAGGGAGTAAATGCGATTGTTGTGACATTGAGCATATTGTTGTATAATAATAAAGTAATAATAAATTCGTTTAAATAAAATGTGACTAGATTATAATATAACACAAAAATGATTTTAAGTCATTTGATAAGTTTGTTTTGATATATTAATATAATAGTTATCATGTATATATAAATATAAAGGTAATAATATAAAATTAAAAAAAAAACGATTTAGTGTGAAGAACATAAATACAATAATAATTATAATAAATTTTAATGGCAGTCTCAAGAGTTCAATGAAAGCACATAAAAATTAGTGTTGTGACACAATAAATTATACAACGCAAAAATTGAAAAAAGTGATTGGTGTTCACATTTTTTTCAGCATGTTTTAAGTAGTATTAATGCAAATTGTCAGGAACAATGTTACGACTTTTCATGTATCCAACAAGTTGTGCTGGTATTTCGGCTAAAACTTCCCGGGCTAGGTATGATTTAGCATTCATTGGATTTTCAATTTGTTGAAAGTTTTTAAATGGCACAAACTGCACTATATCTCTGGCCGCACGGACTCCATTGACTTCTAGCTTAACTGTGTCACCATCCAATTCTTCCATCGATTGGAAATCAGCATTTCCCACTCCTACAATGATAATGGACAGTGGCAGCGTGGAAGCTTTGATTATCGCCTATAGAATATAATCTGATTTATCAATCTAGTTTTCTAATTATGATACTAACAGCTATAGTAAGTATGTAATAATTTTTGGTGAAAGTGGAAAGATCTGGATCAATTGAGTTAAAAGAATTCTCAGAGAATTATTGATTTTGAACATTGGTAAAAAATTTTAACAAAAAACAAATTACCATACATGATATATAAATGTTACCTATATATAGGTATACACAGATAATTTGCAGTGTTTTCTTTATTGGCATTCATTAATAGATACAATAGAAATCACAATATAAACTAAACAATGTAAAGCAAACAACAAATAGGTTATAATTATTAAAATTAACAATAGTGTATTGATTGTGCTAAATGTGTTTCATGAAAGGACCTTTATCAGTTACAGTTTTGATTAAATTAATTTTTAGTGACCCAAGTAGTGTGGGTTTCGAAAGAGAACATACTTAAAATTAAAATGTATTTATAATGTAGATCAACAACAATATACATTTATGTTTATTTCATTCATTAGATATATGACAATAATTATTATTAAATGGTCCCATTAATAAAACTATTATTCTAGCCATGAATTAATAACATGGAATACGATTACTATTACAATTAAATGATTGCACTTTTTAATAGCTCATATAAAATATATATATTCTTATAAGTTTTCTGTAATAGTGTTCATCTGGTTTATATAGTAATGTTTGGGATTATTGGAAATAAAGACAATTATTTAATTAAAATAAATTGTTTAGGTTCCTTTCAAAAGAAAAAAAAAATAATAGAGTAATTTATAACTTACATGATAAAGGTCTTTTCAAACTATAATTATATTTTTAAAAAGATTAGAGTACAAATTTAAAAAAATTATAATAGTTTTTGTATAAGATATAGTTTATACTGAACTAAAAAAAAATAAACAATTTGTAATATTTATTTTACAATTTATTAAAATGTTGAAGTAGACACACCTAATAAAATAATTCATATTAGATTGACTGGATAATATTATTAAACATTAATCAGGTAACAGAAATTCCATATTATTATTAACATATTTTAGATTAAGAATGTATATTAGGTCTGTCTGAATAAACTATATTGCACATAGTTTTATT